CCGCTCCCGGGGACCCCAGCGCGGATCTGCGGGGTCGCAGAGCAGCGGGGATCCGGCGGATCGAGCGGGGTGGGGCCGGCCCCATGGACAGGACTGGAGGTCTAGGTTGGCCTCCAGGATGCCCGAGGCCCCCTCCCAGAGAGGCCCCTATCGCCCCGCCCGGCGCAGGGTCAAACGCCTCCCGCCGCTGGGATGGGGTCGACAGCCCACCCCGCTTCCTGCGCTCCTCTGTACAGTCCCCGCCCCGACGGGGACGGGCGCGGGGTCGGCATTTCTGAGCCCTGCCTGGGCACCTCCCTGGAGCCGGCCTCGTCCCAATCCTCCAGGGCCTAGAGGGACCTGGAGAGGACCGAGGTCCCGATAATAATAATGAAAAAATCACTCCGGCTAGCATTTTTTGAACGCTTCTGTGTCAGGTATTTACCATGCGTATCACTGAGTCTAAACACTTTATGGGAGGTGCTGTTACTTCTTTTAGAGGTGAAGCAACAGACCCAGAGAGGTGGAGTGACTTGCTCAAGGTGACACAGCTAGTAAGTGACAGATCGGGAACTCGAACCCGTGCTTCAGAGTCCAGAACTGGAGTCTCAGCCACTAGACTAGATGGCTCCGTGGCTCAGTGGCCCAGTGTTTCCGTGGCTCAGGTGTTCTTGACCCGCTCCGCTGCCCTGCTGCTGCTTCCACTTCCAACCATGCACACATGTGGGCCACACCTGCTGCTCTTTGCTTTCCCCCGAAGGGGTCACCAGACACCAGCCCTACCTTGCCTCCCCTGAGCTGGAAAGACAAAGACTGAATACCTAAGTTCTAAGTAGGGAGTGACACCTGCAGGGGAGATGGGGGCCCGGGGATCCTTTGCCCCCTGGGCCCCCTGGGAAGCCTGGGCTGAGGCCTGGGCAGTAGGCGTTCTCCCCGGAAACACCCAGGAGCCGGTTTTTCAAGAGTGAATCAGAGGCCTCCCGCCCTCCTCTCCGAAGCAATATCCTACTAGAAAGGGGAGGCTGGGTGTGGTGGCCCCCCTCCCCCAGCTTATGTCAGCTCCCAGGAACCCCCTTCCCCACTTCCTGCTGCCCCCCGCTGTGATTCTGCGTGGTTGTGGGGTTGTTTAGTTTCAGGCCCTTTGCAGGGAAGAGAGGGTGGGGATGCTGGGATTCCAGCCAATGCGCTTGGCGCCCAGGCTGACACTCTTTTCCTCCAACCCTATGTTCAGGTTTGAGCGGAGACTGGGAACTTGGGGAGGGGGTGGCAGTTAGCAACTCCCGGCATGTTCTGAGGATAGGAGGGCTCAGAGAGTAGTCAGAATGAGGACAGAAGGCACATTCATCCATTCTACAAACATTTATTGAGCACCTACCATGTGCCAGGCACTGTTCTTGGCACAATAGTGAACAAGACAAAAATCCCTGCTCTGTGGGAGCTGCCATTCTAGTTGGGGGGAAACAGGCAACAAGCAAGTTAACGAGTAAATAAAGAAGGTATCTGCAGATGGTAGTAAGTGCTATGTGCTATGAATAAAAGTGCTGTGAATAAAATATGAGGGGGTGGTATGGTAGAATCTGTGGGTAAGGGGGGTGGCTTGGAGGAGGTGACTTTGGAGACAAGATCTAAATGAAAAAAGGAGGTAGCCCTGCAAAGATCAGGCAGGGGGCCCACCCCAGGCAAAGGCTCTGAGGCTAGACGGAGCTTGGAATAGCGTGGCTGGGGCACCAGCTGCAGTCAAAGTGGCAGTTCTGCAGGGGTCTGTGACTCATATTAAGGAGTGTGGAGCTTTTCCTCCGTAAGGTGGGAAATCGTAAGATTCGAAGCCGGGGAGTGACGCGATCTGGTTTACATTTTAAAATAGAGACACAAAGTGAAATAGCAGCCTAAGACTGAAAGACAAGAGTTCTGCCAGGGCAACATGTAATTAAGTTCATGGGCCTGAGCCGTCTGGACCACAGGGGCGGTTCCAACAGGCTGGGGCAAGCCAGGGAAGCTGCCTGGAGGAGGTAGCCTAGACTAGGCCTCCTCAGGCAAAGTGGACTGGGATGTTCCTGGATGGGGCAGGGGAGGAGGCCATAATAATAATGACCATGATAGTAACAGTTTCCTTATAGCAAATGTCAGACAAAATGCTAATCAGATTGTATGCATAATCTCTTTGGCTTCCCATAAGCACCCTGAGAGACAGGAATTCCGCTTGTTTTTTCGGATGAGAAAACTGAGGCCCCATCACATGAAGTGACTTGCCCACGGCTACGCAGCTGGTAAGTGGCAGGGGTGGGATTTGAACCCAGGCCACCCTGCCTCTTCTAGTCTGGAAGGCAAATTCATTAATCACTTACTTTCCTCACTACCATTATTCCCTCCTCACAGGGGAGGACGTGGAAACGCGCCTGAACCAGGGCAGCAAGCCTAGGCAGAGTAAGGAAGTTGGGAATTGGTGATCAGGATGTGGAGGCCCTGGGTAAAGGAGGAAGTTTGAATCTTGTCAACTGACTGAAAGGTGGTACAGATGGAAATAGTAGTTAAAAAAAAAAAAATCACCATTTATGGAACCCTTCTCACGTGCCAGGAACTGTTCCAGGCACATATATGATTTCCTCAGAGAAGTTAAGACACTTGCCCAAGGTCGCACAGCTAGTAAGAGGAGAAGCCAGGTTCCAGACTCATGTTCGCAGCATCCTACTAAGATATGTGAGGGGCAGCAGAAGGAGAACCAGAGGAGGTGATGATGAGGGGTTTGGGATTTTGTTTTTTGTTTTTTGTTTTTGTTTTTTTTTCTTTTTAAGCATCGCTGAGTGCGATGAAATAATCTGAGGAGACAGCATTGGTTTATTCATTCAGAATTTGTTTTTCGTCAAGTATTCAGCAAATGCCTACTGTGATGAGTGCTGTGAATAGAGAGATAAGGTAACCAATAAAAGACTAGTATCCCGAATATATATAAAGAGTTCCCACAAATCAATAAGAAAAAAGACAGGCATTACAATAAAAAACAAATGGTACAATTTTTAAAAATGGGCAAAGACTTAAAGAGGCAATTCACAAAGGGACAAATCCAAGCAGTTAATAAATGTCTTAAAAGTTGTTAAGCATGGAGCACATGGGTGGCTCAGTTGGTTAAGCATCCAGCTCTTGATTTCAGCTCAGGTTATGATCTCAGGGTCGTGAGTCAAGCCCCGCATTGGGCTCCACACTGATAGTGGAACCTGCTTAAGATTCTCTCCCTCCCTCTTCCTCTGCCCTTCCCTGCCCACCCTATAAAAAAGAAAGTTGAGGGCGCCTGGGTGGCTCAGTTGGTTAAGCGACTGCCTTCGGCTCAGGTCATGATCCTGGAGTCCCGGGATCGAGCCCCGCGTCGGGCTCCCTGCTCGGCGGGGAGTCTGCTTCTCCCTCTGACCCTCCTCCCTCTCATGCTCTCTGTCTCTCATTCTCTCTCTCTCAAATAAATAAATAAAATCTTTAAAAAAATAAAATAAAATAAATAAAAAAAAATAAAAAAGAAAGTTGTTCAGCATCCTTGATTATGAAGGGAGTGAAAACAAAACCACAGTGAAAGGTGAGGGAGATACTCTGTGTCTATGTGGGTAGATGGAGCAACCTACCCTGTCCCCAGCGCTATGCTGGGAAGCAAAGGATGAGGACCACAGAGGTGGGGCTTGTGCTTTTGCTGGTGAGACAAGACCCCCTTGGGGCAGGGACTACAGCCTTGCCCCTCTCTCTCCCTGGAGCCAGGCACAGGGACTGGTGGGCCAATGAATATTAGGATTAGTCATCCATTCAGTCATTCAGCAAATATTTATTGAGCACCTGCTACACACCAGGCACTGTTCTCTGCCCTGAGAAAATAGGGATGAATAAGGCAGACAAAATTCCTTGCCCTTTCAGAAAACAGTGAACAAGAATAGTGGATGAAACATATATCCCACCTGAAAGAGATGCGCGAATGAGTTGTGGGGATGCCAGAGGGCAGAGTCAAGTGCAGAAGCACTGAGGCTGGGCTGCCCCTGGTGTGCCAGAGGGGCAGGGACAAGGCCCGTGTGCCTGGGAGGGACGAGCAAGGTGGAGGGTGGGAGGAGGGGAGGGGAGGGAGGTGATGGGAGCAGATCTTTTAGGGCCTGTGGGTAGAGGGGAGGACGTTGGCTTTTACTCTGAAGGAGGTGGGAGCCCTGGGAGGGGTCGGAGCAGAGGACAGGTGTGACGTGACTTACGTTCTACAGGATCATTCTGGCTGCTGTGTTGACACAGGCCGTGGAGGGCGAGGGCAGAAGACTGCAGACTCGGAGGAGGCAACTGCACTAGTGGAGGTGAGAGACGCTGGGGGCTGGAGCAGGTGCTACTGGAGGAGGTGTGGGAGAACAGACGAATGAATGTGGGCGCAAACAAATGGAGGCACGAGAGTGGGTGCAGCGCACTGGGTTTGGCTGAATCCAGGACGGCCCCCTGGAGGAAGAGGCTTTAAAGGAGGGAGCAGGAAGTCCCCTTTACACAAAAAATAGAAGTTGGCATGATGGGATCCTCACCTCACCTGGCCAGGTGGGTGGAGTGTCCCCACTTGCAGAGCAGACATCCCAGGCCCAGGGAGATGGAGTTGTTTAGGGAGCCACTCTGCATGGGCATCAGACAGACTCGAAATGAAACCTGAACTCTTTCCCAGTCTGGAAGGCCCGCAAAGTCGACCCCTCACACCCCCTGTCACCTCTTGTATCGCACCTCTTCGGTCTCTCATTGCTCGCTGCACTGCGGTTACAGTGGGCTCTTGCTGATCTGTGAGCCTGAGAGTCTGCTCAGAACCCTCCCATGGCCGCCACCTCACTCAGAGCAAAGGCCTAAGTCCTCCCTGGGCGCACGAGGCCCTGCTCGCTCTGCCCGATCCCCTCCCTGCCCTCACCTCCTCCTGCTGTCCCCCTTAGCACTCTGTTCCAACCCCACAGGCCTCCTCGCTGTTCCTCAAACACACCAGGCACGTCCCCACTTCAGGGCCTTCGTACTGGCCGTTCCCTCTGCCTGGAGCCGTCTTGCCTCACATCCTCGTATGGATACTTCTTCCTGTCACTCTGGTCTCAGGTTCAGTTTCACCTGCTCAGAGAGGCCCTCTTTGACCTTGTCTGTAGAAGAACTTGTCTTGTTTGATTGTCTTCATAGCACGAATAGAAATCACATTAGACTTTTACACTGTGCTTGCTCACTGTGCATCTTCTCTGGATTATATATATGCTCTGGACAGCATGGACAGAGCCCCGGCTAGCATATGTGGCACCTAGGAGGGAACTGGAAGGAGGCAGCCCTTCCTCCCGGCAGACACATCAGCTCGGCATGTAGCTCGGCAAGCAGAGCACAGGCTGAATTTCAGTCCCACTTGCAACCCTGGTCTGGTGCTTTTGCACAGTGAACAACCTGTGTAACTGCACAGAGTGGCCCTGGTCACGGACCTTGCTTATCTTACTGAAGGCAGTATCTACAGTGGTGCATGGAATACAGTAAGCATGCAAAAAATATTTGTTTGAAAGGAGGGAGGAAGAAAGAAACAGAGAATGGAGGTAGAGAAAAGAAAACAAAGAGGAAAGAAAAATGGTAAATCAGTCAGGACAGGTTTTGCTACAGTAACAAACAACCCCCCAAATCTTAGTGGCCGAACTCCACCAGGCTTATTTTTTTTGTTCCTGCTACGTCACTGCAGCTCAGCAGGAGGTCCCATTCATTATCAAATGCAGCCTGCCTGGGAGATATAGATCCCCCGGAGTCTCTTGCTCCAGTGATTAAATGCTTCAGCCCAGAAACATCATGTGTCTCACAGCGCATTGGTCAGAAGTGGTCATATGCCTGCCCAGTCACAGGGAGGTCAGCAAGTGTCACCCGCCTGTTTATTTTGAAGGGAGAGTCAGAAATTTTTGGAGCGCAGCACTAGTGAGTGTCAGTGCCAATAGAAAAATAAAGAGGAATGTAACCACTTTGAGCCTCCATTTTCTCATCTGTTAAATGGGCATAATCATAACATAATATAGTCCCCACGTCCCGATGCGATGTGAGGATGAAGGAAGGTCACAGCGCAGTTTGCTTGGGGTCTCAGTAGGTAACAGCTGCCATTATTACTTCTGTACAAGGTATGTAAGTGCTGGGCCCGGGTTTCCAACCGAGGCTGTTCTGTTCTCTAAATATCTCATAAGGCCAGTAGGGTGCTAATAGTGTGGGAGAGGCGGCCCGAGGCCACTGCCCGGGCCCTGAGCCCATTTTCCTGCCCTGCAGATCTCCTGAGCGTGCCCGCGCGTCTCCCTGCTCATGCCGCTGGGACTGGGGCGGCGGAAAAAGGCGCCGCCTCTGGTGGAAAATGAGGAGGCGGAGCCAGGCCGTGGGGGGCTGGGCGTGGGGGAGCCGGGGCCCCTGGGTGGGGGTGGGGCAGGGGGGCCCCAGATGGGCCTGCCTCCCCCTCCCCCGGCCCTGCGGCCCCGCCTCGTGTTCCACACCCAGCTGGCCCACGGCAGTCCCACGGGCCGCATCGAGGGCTTCACCAACGTCAAGGAGCTGTACGGCAAGATCGCCGAGGCCTTCCGGCTGCCAGCTGCCGAGGTACCCGCGGGGGAGCCGGGCCCCGGGGTCCCTGACGGAGGGCTGAGGCCCGGGCGTGCCTCCTGCTCGGGAGCGGCGGCTCAGACGCTGGAGCTGCACATGCCGGGGCCTGCTCCCCAGTGACTTACGGGGAACCGGAGGCCAAGCCTGGGTGCTGAGCGCCCTTCAGGCATCGGGAGGCCCGTGCCCCAGCGGCCTGCAGAAATGGGTGGCCAGGGCTGGATGTGACCTTCCCAGCATGCATCGGGAGGCTTGCGCCCCAGTTGATTACGGGGTCTGGAGGTCAGATGCGAGATTCATTTCTCTGTGATGCATTGGGAAGCCTTACCCGGAGGACCTGGGAGCTGAAGGAAGGGAGGCAAAAAGGGCCACCGTAGGATTGAGCAGGAAGTAGATGCGGGGGTCTCAGTAGGTGTGGGGGGTATTCTCTGCCCCTTCATTCATTCCACAAGCCCTTACTGAGCACCCATTGTGTGCCAGGCTCTGTGCCCTGGGGGCCGCAGGGAGTTTTTGCTAGGACAGAAATCCCAGCCCCAGCAGAGCTGCATCCTAGTGGGGGCCCCTCTGGGGTGGGGACCCCCAGCCCTTTCCCAGCTCCCCCCCGTTCCCCCTCAGGTGGTTGCTAGCAAAGGGCGGGGGAAGGAGGTGAGGGTTGAGTGTCTCCCGCCCATGCAGGTGATGTTCTGTACCCTCAACACCCACAAAGTGGACATGGACAAGCTCTTGGGAGGCCAGATCGGGCTGGAGGACTTCATCTTTGCCCACGTCAAGGGGCAGCGCAAGGAGGTGGAGGTGTTCAAGTCAGAGGAGGCGCTGGGGCTCACCATCACTGACAACGGGGCCGGCTATGCCTTCATCAAGGTGCTTGGGGTGCATGGGGCACCCGGAGTCCTGAGGGTAAGGATGGGCCATGGCATCCAAGGGCAGAGCCATGGGGGCTGACAGCTCCTCTCCCCACAGCGCATTAAGGAGGGAAGCGTGATTGACCACATCCAGCTCATCAGCGTGGGTGACATGATTGAGGCCATCAACGGGCAGAGTCTGCTGGGCTGCCGGCACTACGAGGTGGCCCGGCTGCTCAAGGAGCTGCCCCGAGGCCGCACCTTCACGCTCAAGCTCACAGAGCCCCGCAAGGCCTTTGGTGAGGGGGCTGCCTCCTGGACCACTGCTCTTCTCTTGGGTTCAGGCCACAGTGGCAGGGAGACACCAGCAGGTGGCACCCAAGGCCAGCCAGCTGCAGTAGAAGGGGTGGGGGGGGGGCCGCCTTGCCCTGGGGAGGGGGTGCTGGCTCTCCGCCCAGCCTGGGAGGAGGGTGAGGACAAGGAGGAAGTTGCCCCCACACCCAGCTTCCTGGAACCATTAGTCCAGCCAAGCGCCCCCAACCCTGGCGAGCCCCTCCAGTCCTGAGAAGCCAGGGTTGGCTGCCCTGTTCCTGCACCCCCACTTTTCCGTCTGACTTCACTAACTCTCTGGAATGGGCCTGAGGCCCCTGAGGTGGGGGTGGGGGACTCTCAAACACTTCCCCAGGCAGATAGGGCTGGTCTTTGGCCCCGCAGCTGGATCCCCTTGGCCTTGGGGAGAACAGCTCAAGACCCAGGCCCCACCCCCTTCCTGTCCCTCAGGCCCTGGGAACAGGGCCCCCTTCTGTCTCCCCTCCAGCCTTTTCCATTCTCAGCCCCTGGCTGTCCTTCCCCCATCCATGCCAAGCCGGAGTCAGGAGTCCTGCCCTCCCGGGGTCACCTCAGGCCCCAACTCCCCAGAGCCTGCAGAAACTTAGAGAAGGTAGAAGGGGGTATCTGAGGCCAGGCTGCCTGGGGTCCTGCCCAGGGCATGCTGGAATTGGGCTTCCCAGACCCTCACCCCTTCCCTGCCTCCCACAGACATGATCGGTGTACGCTCAGGGGGTGGCCGCCCTGGCTCTGGCCCCCAGCTGGGCACTGGCCGAGGGACCCTCCGGCTCAGATCCCGCGGCCCCGCCACAGTAGAGGATGTGGTGAGTGTTCTAGCCCGGCCCCAGCCCTCCTTCCCTGGGCATCCATAGGTGGCTGCATCCTCTGTTAGCTGAGGGGCTCTGGACACTAGATTCAAATCTACCTCCGCCACGTAGCAGCTCTGGGACCTCTGTTGGGTAGGCGGGCCTCAGTTTCCTTGTTTGTAAAGTAGGGGGATAGTAATACTGTCACAGGGTTGTGAGGATGAGCTATGGGTTAATACATGTAAAGTGGTGAAAAGAGCATCCCGCACTTAAGTACAATTACAAATATATTCACATTATTGTGATGTCATTGTCCCTCCTCCCACCCCGCCCTCCCCCACCCCCCCCAGCCCTCAGCCTTTGAGGAGAAGGCGATTGAGAAGGTAGATGACCTGCTGGAGAGTTACATGGGCATCAGGGACACGGAGTTGGGTGAGTGGGGACGCCTGGATCTGGGGATGGGCGCGAGCCTTGGGGAAGGGGCTTCTGGGTCCTGTGGGGCTGGGTCTACCCTGAGTACCTCTGTCATCTGTGCTTCCATTCTGTGCCCCGCCCCCCACCCTTGTCCAGCGGCCACCATGGTGGAGCTTGGAAAGGACAAAAGGAACCCGGATGAGCTAGCCGAGGCCCTGGATGAACGGCTTGGTGACTTTGCCTTCCCTGATGAGTTCGTCTTTGACGTCTGGGGTGCCATTGGGGATGCCAAGGTCGGCCGCTTCTAGGCCCCCTTCCAGACCTCTCAGTGACCTGGCTCCGCTTGGTGGGAGCCCCCAGTGGGAGGGCCACCATGGCCTGGACCGCAGCATCCGGCTTGGACCTTGCTCAGCAGCCCAAGGACGATGCAGAGTGGAGGTGGGGCCGGGCCTCCGCCCCACTCCAATCGGTACCACCCCTCCCCAGCTCCCACCCTGGCTGGGGTCCCCGGTCCCCCCTTGCCCTGTTCCCCACCTACCTCAGCCGGGTCAGGCGCAGGGGGTGGGGGGGGAGGGACCAGCCAGATTGTGCGGCCACCCCCACCCCCAACACTTTCTGCATCAGCTGCCAAACTGGTCTCTCATCTCCCTGGGGCCTGTTTGGGGGTCCTGACCTCCCTAGTTTCCTGCTGCAGGGAATGCAGAAGGGGGGCATGCCCCCCCTCAGCAAATGCAATAACGCCCTCCCCCCATGCCCCACCCAGAGAGGAGCCCCCTCACTTCGGAGTCTGTTACCTCCACATTTGAAACACTAGTCTGCTGTGAACCCCCAACCTCCCTCCCTCCCCTGCTCTCTGTGTCGCCCTCAGCCCAGCCCCAGACAGAAGGGGCAAGAGGGACGATGGCGGTGGGCTTTTGTATCTGAATTGCTGTCTTGAACATAAAGAATCTATCTGCTGTTGGACCTGTGTGGTGGCTTCAGCTTTGGGGTGGGAGAAGGGGGTGAGCCAAGGCTGGGAAAGAATGTAGCAGCTGAAATCCATCCTCCTCGGGCTCCAAATTGAATTAGGAGCCTGGCTGGGCCACCCGCCCCCCCCGCCCCCCCGCCCCAACCCGTTCCGCCTGATGAGGTTTCTGGCTGTGGGCCACCAGGCTTCCAGTCAAAGGCCGGAGCTTCCTGGCCTACTGAGGTTCAAATCTTGCTCCCTCTCGAACAAGGCCTCCCGCCACCTCAAGCCTGATGTGAACAGTGGGCACCAGGCTGTTGTAGCCCAGGGCCATAGGGGACAACACCAGGGCCAGAAGATGCGGAAGCCTGGCCTGGGAAAAGAAAGACAGGGGGCCCAAGATGGAGGCCTGCCAGGGCAAATGCCGTGGGGAGGAGCCCTGCCCCCGAGCCGGAGGGGAGCAGTCATGATGTGGCCCCCGTTCCTGCTGACTCTGGATGCGGGGGGTCCGCTGGCGTCCATGGCGCACCATGGTTTGCACTGGACATAAACCCAGCGTGCTTGTTTTGACAACCCACTTCATCCTCGAGGATTGAGTGGGGATCAGGGAAGGGGGGGGTGGGACCCTGGCCAGACCTGGAGGGAAGGGCAGGAATTGAAGCAAGGGGAGCCAGGCCAGAGGTCCCTGCAGGAATGTCTGGGGTCAGCCCGCTCCCCGTTTTCATCGCTCCTTTCAACAGGAGGGCGCTGGGCCTGCCTGGGAGAGGGGAGCTGGGGGCCCTGGCAGGGCGCGGGGTGTGTGCGCAGGCCGCGGTTGTGTTCTTGGGGTGGGATGGAGACAGCTGTTGTTGGGGTCCCTCTCAACATCCCTGGGCACCCACGGGTGCCTCCTGTGTCTGTGCTGGTAAACTGCTCAGGTCGCGAAGGGGTGCGGCGGTGTGTCTCAGTGTTGAGACGGTAAGACTGTCTATCAGAGTGTTGGTGGGTTTTGACCCCATTGAGGGAACGGGATGTAATGACTGTCTTTGTGTTCCACGGTGTTTGTGGGGGTAACCGGCAGCACCCCTGTGTGGAGTGTGGCCGTGTAGGTGCAGCTCGGGGGGTGTCCAAGGCTGTGAGTGTGAGTGTCTCCGGGTGTTTTCTGTTTGTGGGCTAGGTGTTGACCAGCTGGGTCTCAAGATGTCCAGGAGGTGCGACTCCTTGTGCCGTGGGTGTATGGAATGCATTCGCGGGGCCTGTCTTGGACTGTTGGGGGGTGTCTGTGGGTGATACAGAGTGGGGCTGGTGGGCTGTCTCAGAGGGAGGGATGGTGTGTGCGTCTCGGTGCTAGGCGAGACCGGATCTCCCAGCGCCTTCTCGGGGGGATGAATTTCGGTGTGTTGAGAGAAGTTAAAGCCAGTAACAATAGGGGCACCTGTGGGGGTCCTGGAGGTGACAGTCACAGTGCGTTCATGGGTATGACGAAGGCTGACCCTAAAGCTTTGAGGAGCGTGGCTGCCGCTGTGCTGGGGACAGACTGACGGCATCTGGTCGTAGGGTGTTAAGAGGCGTGACGGTGTGTGTCTTAGAAGGTGAGAGTGTGTGCGTGCGCCCCTGCTTCTCAGGGCAGGACGTGAGGCTGCAGTTGTGTGTCCACAGGTGGCTTGGGACTCGTGTGTCTCAAGAGAGAGTCCCCTGGTCACCAGACCTCTTGGTTCCCCTGCCCCCCTTCAGCCTCCTCCCCTGCCCCTCCCAGGGTATGACTCGCTGCTGGCCCTGGCCTGAGCTTTAAGCCCCTGTGTAAATAATGGGCGGGTCTCCTGGCCAAGCTGGGCCCGACCCAAGCTGGTCCACACGAGGCACTGCCCACCACCACCCCCGAACCAACATCCATGAAGGCTTTGGTAGGGCGAGAGGGTGTTGCTGCCCCCAAGCAGGGTTAGCCCCCCAAGCTCGCAGTCCCCATGGGGGCAGTGGCACCCCCTGCAGCCGCCCCAGCTTGCCCTGGGCGATGTTCACATTTTCCAGTGTTTAGATTTTATCCACTTTATTAATGAGGCAGGCGAAAGGCCCGCGCCTGGGGGGAAAGGGGGGGGGGGGAAGAGGGCTACTCCCGCCCCGCCAGTGGGAGGGGGTCATGGGGAACCAGGCCAACTCCCCGGGAGACCCCTTCCTGGTGGGGCAGCTGGGGTCCAGTGTAGCCCCTGCCCATTGCCAGGAGCACAGAGGGGTCTCTGCCACCCCAGGCCCCCTCTGGGTGCGAGATGGCTGGAGCAGCCCCTGGAGGCCAGAGCGGGCAGCGGGAGGAGGCAGGGAGCTGAGGAGCCGCCCCAAGAGGGAGGGAGAGGGAGCGGCCTGGCCTGCCGGAGAGCTCTGGTGGAGCGGGCGCGGGTGCAACAGGCAGCAGGGGCCAAGCAGCAGGCGATGGGGACCTGGAGTCCCAAGCTGTGTTGGTAAGAAGACTGGGGCATGAGGATGTCTGGTCGGGGAGGAGGGTTTGGAAGGACGGGGCCGTGGCTAGTTCAGTCTCTGTGTCCTGTGTTCTTGACTCTCAGCCCCATCTGTCTGTCCCTGTCAGTCTTACTGTCTATCCACCTTTCCCATGTGGCCAGCAGGCAGTTCTGCCCTCTCAGCCCTCACCTCCAGGTTATCGAGGGATGGGTGGTGCTGGGTCCGCCTTGAGGCCTTTGGGGCAGGGACCTGGAGCTGGCAGGAATGGGAGCCGGGGGGCATCCACGGTAAGGCAGCTGTGGTCAGGGGAGAGCCAGGGTGGGACAGTGACAGAACTCAGAGATGGGAGTGTGGGGGGCAGGGACGGTGGGGACAGACATGTAGCTGTGGGGAAAAGGACAGTGCGGTGGAGAGAGATGTCCCCGTGGTGGCAGAGGTGGGGCTGTGAGCATCAAACATGGGACTGGAGAAAAGGTGACATGTGATGGTCAGAGATGGGGCAGTGAGGTCAGGTGGGGCCCTGCCGATCAGAAATGGGTCAGGGGGTGTCAGATGGAGCCAGGGGCGAGAAATTCGCTGTGGTGCAATAATGAGAGGTGGGTGTCAGAGGTAGATCCGTGACGCCCACAGGTGGGGACAGACACGGAAGGCCGGAGCCCGGGGAACCAAGGTGGACAGAGAAGGTGGTGAGGGCAAGAATGAGGCCTGGAGCAGGAGCTGATGGGCTGATGGGCTGATGGGCTGATGGGCTGATGAGGCAGAGGAGAAAGCGGTCGGGAATGGGGCAGCCAGGGTCCTTTGGAGTTGCCGTGGGCAGAGGCGACAGAAGAATGCCATGGCATCCAACGGGGCCTGATGACCCGAGGTGGCGCTGCCTGCTAGTCCCATGGGGATGGTGGGCAGTGTGCTCCCGGCCCGCCTCACGGAGCCCTCCTCTCCTCTCCCCAGCCCCAACCCCAGCACCTGACATGAGTCTCTGCGGGCCCCTCAACCTGAGCCTGGCGGGCGAGGCGACCACGTGCGCGGAGCCCGGGGCTCCCAACGCGTCGGCCGCGCC